GCCGCAGCCCAGGCTGGTGAGCAACAGGGGGCTGTGATTTTATTTCACAAATCTCAAAATAAATGGATTTTGCTCCCTTGCACTGTCTTATCCATATACTCACCAGCACGAAGACATCCCAGTGGCCTGTCCAGGATCAAGTACGTGCCAGAGAGATGGTGCAGGGTACTCCCTGGGTGTCAGTAAGGAAGCCCTGACAACAAATGGCTAAATAAAACAGCTGTTTTAATAAGACAGATTAAGAAGAGGAATACAGACAGCAAGGAAATCCGACATCCCTTCCGACGCTGGGCGCCCCGTGTTCCCGCCGTGTTGGACAGACCTGGGATGGACTTTCCCCCTGCGCAGGTCCCGTCCGTGAAGGGCAGCTCTCCCTTGTTGGTCACCTCAACCATTACATGTTTTCCTATAGGAGCACGATTCCGTTCCGAAAGGATTTTTGCACTTCTGCTGCCCATGGAGATAAGGGCAGGGTGCTGGTCCCGCTGGTGCCGAGTGGGAGCCGCCTGCGGGCTCCTCGGTCACGATCCACCGGCGTTTTCCACCATGAAGCGTTACCATCCCTTTCCAACTTACAAGCAGGTTTCAAAGAGATCATCCAGTGATTCCGTCCTTACCCAGCCCTGGCTGCCCACGGAAGGGGTGAGGAAGGAGCGCTGCTAAGGGCAGGCTTGTGGAGACGTGTCGCTGTGCGGTAGGGACCGAGGTCAACCCCTTTTTTTTCCTTTTCCTCTTACATCACCCCGCGCCGGTGGAGCCTGGGGGGTGTGCTCCGGCGTCGGCCACGCGTGAAGCCCCGTCCACAGGAAGAGAAACAGGAGCAGAAAGGAGGAGGAGGAGGACCGCGCCGATGGAGAAGCGCAGCGCCGGAGGGCTCGCGGGGAGAGGAGAAGCCAGGCGCAAGAAAAAACTGAGAGGGTAAAAAAAGCCATCGCTGACCCAAAAAAAACCCCACCCCAGCTTCAGCTCTGTGTTGTCATCGCTCCGAGCCAAGGGGAGCCCTCGCTTTGTCACCCCGGGGCGCGCTCCTTGCTCCGGGAAGGGCCAGGGTGCTGCTGGTGCCAGTGTGCCCGGGTGGGAGCCCACGTCCCCCACGTACCAGTGAGGGGTCTGAGCCCGATGGGGAAGGTCCTGCTGATACAGAACTGTCCCATAAAGCGGCGGGGGAGCAAAGGTGCCCGTAAAAACTGAGTGGAAGGTGAGGGTGGGCTGGGGAAGGGCTGTGGCAGGAGGTTTGGGCAGCCAGAGGAGCCAGAAGTGCTTCTTCTCCGCTCGCCCATTTTGAGATCTTGAAAGGGCTGCGGCGGCACAGCATAAACAGGAAGTTTCAGACCAGTCGTCTGAATAGAGGGGAAAAAACAAAGAGTTTTAGTGCAAAGTTTAGTTAAGACGGGTGCCAGCTGTGCCAGGCGTTAGCTGTGGAGGAAAAGCACGGGTTAAAGGAGTTTGGACACATCCGTGCTTGTACGTTTTTAGCTATTGTTATTCTCGCTGTTATTATCTTGCAATGAGCAGAATTTTAAATAGTTTCTAATAGAAAGTCTTAGAGGAAGGAAGTTTAATATGCAGAGTTTTAATACGAGAGGTATTCGGTTTAGGAGCTGTTTTCATAAAATACTTACATTTTAAAATAAACCCATTGCATTCCTGTTGAAGTTATGGATGACAGGGCAGTAGGGAAGGTATAAAAAACACCTTTTAAAAGATATTTGTAATCAGTCAATACATTTTCAAGGTTTAATGCACATTTGCATGTCAATAAATTTGATTATTAAAGAAAAGAAGATAAAACCTAGGAGACAGTTACGTTGGCTGTCATCCCTTTGCCATCTTCTCCCCTAACTCAACGTTTTTTGGTGCAATTCACCTTTCAAACAGTCAGTCAGTGTCTACAGTTACTGTATTTCTCTCCAGTTCTGAAGTTCTGAACGGGTTAAAAGTTTACCTTCATGAGATTGATGAACCAAATTGAGAAAGAATACTGAAAAACTTTTAGGACTTTTTTTCTCAATTGCCAACTCTTAATTTTATCTCATAGTTGTGTCAAGGAACCAGCTATTAAGTGTGGGATTTTTTTTTTTTTTTGAGTTAATCTCCATATGGGTATTGTACAAAACAATGCTGAACGACAAGTACTGTGGCTTCGGGCAGTTCAGCTGTCAACTCACAATTTATTTTCAGTGTTTTCTTCCCTGCTTTGGGAAGAAAAGGGAATAGGTGCTGGGATTTTGTACAGACTCTATAATGTGGAAATGTTTTATGATGTTTTTTCAACTTCTTGTCTGTCTTTCTGTTAGAGCCGTTTAACTTTACATTAATCCATTATTTAAAAAATAGCAAGTTATATCTGTAGCAGATATTTATAAGAACGCAGACTTTTTAAATATTGAATTAGGTTGATTACACAATAAATTTCACTTGGCTTTAACACATCTTTAAGGTGGCCACATTGTGAAGATTAGTGTATTGCAAGATTGTTCTAAAGAAGTGACTTTACGTCCCTGAAAATGTGCACAGGACACCCACTGCAGTAGTTCATCCAAAGTGCAATATTTTATGGTCCAGACACTGGCAAGAGGGTGCTTAAGACCAGTTTAAGTAAGATCTGGAAACTTTAACCTGCCTGTAAGTTATAAGCAGATGACAACAACTGCAGATACCTTGGAACAAAGCAGATCTCCACAGTCTATTGTAACATTGCTTTCCAAAACCTTTGAAATGCCTTCTGTGAGAATTAGATGAACTGATTTGGCTTTATTATTGGGAGTTCAATGTATTTTCTTTTGTCAGTTTAACCATTGTCACTGTATTCCCTGTATCTAAATACACACAGAGTATATATATATTGTGTACATATTATGTATTTATTTTATATATAAATATGTGTGTTCCTTACTCATCAACAAGCTTTAAAGAAACTTAAGCTAATAGGCACTAACTTCCAAATAACATAATAGAAATAGAAAAATATATATCTCTTTTTAGCATCTCAAAGAAGAACAAAAAAATTCAACCTGTACATCACTTTTCTCTCTCTCTGTTGTTTTTTTTTTTTAATGAAACACTAAAGGAATTAAGGATTTTTTTTAAAAAAAGTTCTTCGTTTACCAGAATTAAACATTTGGTGACATTTACCTTTGCTACATTTACATAAATTCAACAGACAGGCTGATAAAGAAATCTGTATGCGTGGTTTCTGTGGTTTACATAGAGAAAATACCCAGAGATGCACTCTGGGGTTTATAAACTGATTTATGTACATATGTATTTTAATGTGTAGGAAGCTGGGATGGGGAAGGAGACAGGGTGGGAAGATGAAGCCTTCTGACTGACTTGGATAAATGAGATGCTTTTGTACATCAGTGATGAGTCCTGCAGCGAGAGAGTATGTGGCAGTTGCTTGACCTGCAAGATTTCATTTGCCCTTAGTTCAGATAGTGGTGTGGGGTTTTTTTTTGTTATTGATGGGTAATAATCTACAAAAAAATCCACAGGCTTATTACTTCTCTGTAAAGAGCCTGTCCAGTATACAGCAGTCTGTGTAGTTACTTAATTGAGAATATTTAGAGGTCTGCTCTGAACTGAATAGATCTGGATCTAAGAGATGGACTATCTGTCAGAAAATGTCCTTCTTGGGAGCTGTGCCTTCTTTTTCCTTCTCTCATGTAGGATGGTGCTGACTGTGCTAATCCTTACGAAAATACAAACAGCAGGAGAATCCAGTAAGGACAAATATTCAACTTCATAATTTATCACTGTTTTTATTTTCTTCCTTTTTTTTTGTGTGTGGTTTTTTTTTTGTTTGTTTAATTTCACAATGGCTCCTTACATTGAAAAGGGTTAGGTTACGTACATGGGAGCCCTAGAAAATTCTGACACATAAAAAAAGATATAGAAAGCTCTTAGAAATACTCATGCTGATGAGGAAGAGGACAGCCATAGAGAGGGGTGAGGAGGTGAAAGTTCTGCATGCAGTTGAAGACAAAGGGAGGATTATGTGGTTCAGGTTTTGGTTCCTTTATCCTGCTGTGGTGTCCACCTCTCCATTTTTCTTGCATCGCTCTCATGTCTTGTCCTTCTCAGATCTCCTCTTGTTTCCTCCACCCTCCCCCTTCTTTGTGTACTGGAGAACTACTAAAAACAAAGTTGTAGCCAGTGATTCTTTGGAGTTTCTCTTCTGTTTCAGCATGTATATATCCAAGAAGGCGTTAAAGCATCATTTTGACCCCTATGAGGGTCTAAAAGAGACATACCTACTGTGCGAACTGAAGTGGGGTAAGGCCAAAAAGTCTTGGAAACACTGGGTCAGAAATGACCATGACCATGCTGAAGTCATCTTCTTGGAGAAGATCTTTAATGTGAGAAGATTCAATAGTCGGGACACCTGTTCCATCACCTGGTACTTGTCCTGGAGCCCGTGTGCAAGATGCTGCTATAAAATACTGGATTTCTTAAAGGAGCATTCGTATGTAAACTTGCACATATATGTAGCACGGCTTTATTGCATAGAAGATGAAAAAACCCGCCGAGGTCTGAAGAAGCTTAACAGCTTAGAAGGAGTAACCATTGCTGTCATGGAAGAGGAAGGCAAGGTTTCCTGTGCTTTGTGGGACTGGGAATGGGTGAACTGGTGAACTTTGTGGATGGGTGAATCTGGTATAGGCTTGCTTCTGTGCCCAGTACCCTGGCCAGCTTCTGTGGGGGCACATCCACCACCATTCAGTGACTGAGTGTCGCGTCCAAAGATGGTCAAATATTGCAGGAGAAGGCGGACAGGACTCTGAGCATCCAGACCTGTATGAAAATTCTCACCTTGTTCAGAGACCATCTTTCCGTCGCTCCTGAGGGAACGGGAAATAGGGCGTTTCTCCCTTGTCTTAGGGGACAAACGCAGCTGCTGGGATAAGGCTCGCTGAAGGGGCCCTCTGCTGATGAGAGATTTAAAAAAAAAAAAAGTCCAGAGAGAATGGAATTGGTTCCAAATATGGAGGGGACAGCGTCTATCAGCTGGCCTGTCCACAGCCAAGCTGTCTCTGTGTCGTGGCCATCAGGAAGGGGTTAAAAAGTCTTATTCCCTGAGCTTGTTTGTTATCCGAATAAACTCAGGTTCGTCATCTTGCTTCCATTTCTCCAGAATATACTTACTGTCGGAAAACCTTTATCCAAGGAGATGTTGGTGATGATTTCTGGACTAGGGACTTTGAGCCAAAGATAACTGAGAATCGTTTGAAGCTCAAGGAAGTCCTCAAGGTTAGTGGACTCTGAGGGACGGGGGGAACCATGTGAAATGACTTGCAGTCTGGGGTCACTGAGCAGGAAAGAAGCTGTCCAGATCTAGTTGGAGTTCAGAGTGCTACAGCATGCTTTTGGAAGAAGTAATTTAGTAAAATCATAGGAACTATCCTGTCCTGTTGGGAGAGAAGCACCGTGGATTCCTTTCCATCATTTTATGAAGCAAAGGCTAAAAGCACAGGGCTCCAGAGTGGGAAATCCGTTTATTATCACCTGAAACTCCATTCCCATCCCAGAAACCCTCCTCCAGGTTCCTTTCTAATCTGGATCTGAGCATGGGTTCCTGTTTAGCAAATGATGCTCCTCAGCCACTGTCTGTCAATATCTGCGGTGGTCTGACGCCCCTTCCCAGTCACTGGGCCCCTACATACTTCCTTAAAGTCCCTTCCAGATTTGATTCAGTAACCCCCTGACTGGTCCAAAGGGTACAGTTTCCGTGAGATCTAGGAGTATTAGTCTAGTAAAACTAATATAAGTTATGCAGCATTTTGATTTCGATGTATTAGAGTTTTCTGACAAATAGAGTGAAAGAAATCTGTGGCTAAGGAGGTCATTGAACATCTGGGAAATCCATTTCATATGGCATCAGTGGAAAAGAAATATTCTGGGCTGTTACAAGTCATAGACTTCTCCTGCTATGTCCATTTCAAATCACAGCGATTCCAGAGTGCAATTATTAAAGGTTCTAAATGTCATGTTTTTCTTTTAATTTCAGGATCTTCCATTCTTAGAACCAGAATTATAGAATATCTCAAGATCGAAGAGACCCATAAGGATCATTGAGTCCAACTCCCTGCTCCTTGCAGGACTACCTGTGCTGGTTTTGGGGGGGATAGCGCTCATTTTCTTCATAGTAGCTCCTATGGGTGTTGATAACAGAGAGATGTTTTAGCCACTGCTGAGCAGTGCTCACCCAGAGCCAGGGCTTTGCTGCTCCTCACCCACCCCACAGTGAGGAGCTTTGGGTGCACGAGGAGCTGGGAGGGGACACAGCTGGGACAGCAGAGCCCGACCGACCCAAGGGATGTTCCAGACCATATGACATCATACTCAGCGTATACAGCTGAGGAGGAAGAAGGAGGTTCAGAGTGATGGCATCTGCCTTCCCAAGTCACCTTAGGTGTGGTGGAGCCCTGGGGATGGCTGAACACCTGCCTGCCCATGGGAAGGGGTGAATGAATTCCTTGTTCTGTTTGCTTGTGCGCAGCTCTTGCTTTACCTATTAAACTGTTTTTATCTCAACCCATGACTTGTCGGAGTGCAGATCCTTGAAGAGACTGCACGAAGAAAACCCTGTGTAAATAAGGACTGGAGCTCTAAAGTTAGGCCTCAGGGGCAGAATGCCCTTGAAGTTAAGGATAAGAAAACTATGCAGCATGATAAGGGAGTAGTGTTTGCTTAGAGCAGAGCTTCGCTAGGCGGGTACCTGTTTGAAATAAGCTGTTAAATATGACAAGCATATGTATCATCCAATAATGGTGTAGAAAAGGTGTGGTCTTAGGATTATTGGCAAATACTGCCTATATAAGCAATAAGAACTGCGCAATAAACGAGACTTCCTGCAGCTAACTCATATTGAGTCGTCTCAGTACTTCTCCAAATCCCTTCTCCGCAATGACTTTTCTCACTTTTACTCTGCTGATTCTCTCCCCCATCCCACCGAGGTGGGGAGAGAGCCAATGGCTGTGTGGTGTTTGGTTGCCTGCGGGGTTAAACCACAACTAAACCACAAGACTAAAAGCATCCTCCAGATGCTCCTTGAACTCTGACAGGTTTGGTGCCACAACCACATCCCTGGGGACCCTGTTCCAGTGCTCGACCACCCTCTCAGAGAAGAACCTTCTCCTGATGTCCAATCTGAACTTCCCCTGACGCAGCTTCATTCCATTTCCTCCTGTCCTGTCGCTGGTCACCAGAGAGAGGAGACCAGCACCAGGATTACCCCGTCCCAGTTGGAGAACCCGGCGTTTGCTCTTGTTGAATTTCATGCAGTTGGTGATTGCCCAGCTCTCCAGTCTATCCAGATCTCTCTGTAAGGCCTTCTCAAAGGAGTCCTAGTTTAGTATGGTCCACAAATTTAGTGTACATTCGATTCCTGCATCCAGATAATTATTAATTACTAATTACTATTTATTATTAATTATTGTTATCATCTAGATTATTTATTTATGGTAGAGTTCAAGATCTTTAAGGTGGCAAGGAGGGAGCACAGCAAGATCACTACCCTGGACTTCAGGAGAGCAGGCTTTGGCCTCTCCAGGGATCTGCTGAGTAGAGTACCATGGGATAAAGCCCTGGAGGGAAGAGGGGCCCAAGAAAGCTGGCTAATATTCAAGAATCACCTCCTCCAACGTCGGCAGTGATGCATCCCAGCAAAGAGGAAGTCAGGTAGGAACACCAGAAGGCTGCATGGATGAACAAGTTGCTCCTGGACCAACTCAAACCAAACAAAAGGAAGCCTATAATGGATGGAAGCAAGGACAGGTAGCCTGGGAGGAACACAAGAGAAATTGTCCGAGCAACCAGGGATCAGGTTAGGAAAGCTAAAGCCCTGAGAGAATTAAATCTGGCCAGGGACATATAGGGCAACAAGAAAAGCTTCTGTAGGTATGTCAGTGATAAGAAGAGAATTAGGGAAAACATGGGCCCTCTCTGGAGGAGACCTGGTTACTCGTGATACTGAGAAGGCACTGGCACAGGTTGCCGAGAGAAGCTGTGGCTGCCCCATCCCTGGCAGTGTTCCAGGCCAGGTTGGATGGGGCTTTGAGCAACCTGGTGTAGTGGAGGGTGTCCCTGCCCATGGCAGGGGGGTTGGAACTGGGTGATCTTGGAGGTCCCTTCCAACCCAAACCGTTCTGTGATTCTATAGCCTCACCACTTAATGTGAAAGAATTCTGTTACAATGATGTTGAGGATTCTTTTTTTAGCTAAGAAAAACGAATCCTGAAGTAAGCACACAGGTATGTATGGCCTTCCCACTAACCACCTCACCGTGCCGAGGTCAGGGCTCTGCCCACACACCCTCTGGCTGCCATCCCACCACATTGTTTGGAGACAGACTCATAAAGCTAATCCAGTAGTAGCGGGGTGTCACCAGTTATCTTAATCTCTTCCGTTTCAGTTTCCACCTGTGGAAACCCAACAAGGGTCTCAGTGATGTTGCTGTGATGCTGCTCTCGTGATGCTGCTGTGTAACCCGCGGAGGAAAGGCAGGTGAACGTGCTGGGAGAGGTAAAAAGGCCATGGGTGGGTGGACCCTCAGTAAGAGCTGGAAGCTCATACACTGCTTAGGGTGTGTATTTGAGTAGCTACGAGCTTGGGTTTACGCGCCTTGTTGCATTAGAAGGCCAACCGCATCCTGGGCTGCATCAAGAGGAGCGTGGCCAGCAGGTCGAGGGAGGTGATTCTTCCCCTCTACTCTGCCCTCGTGAGACCTCACCTGGAGTACTGCGTCCAGTTCTGGAGCCCCCAACATAAGAAGGACATGGACCAGTTGGAGAGGGTCCAGAGGAGGCCACAAAGATGATAAGAGGGCTGGAGCACCTTTCCTATGAGGACAGGCTGAAAGAGTTGGGGCTGTTCAGCCTGGAGAAGAGGAGGCTCCGGGGTGACCTTATAGCGGTCTTCTAGTACCTCAAGGGGGCCTACAGGAAAGATGGGGAGAGGCTGTTCAGGAGGGCCTGTTGTGATAGGACAAGGGGTAATGGTTTTAAAATAGAGGGAGGTAGATTCAGATTGGATATTAGGGAGAAATTTTTTAGCATGAGGGTTGTAGAACACTGGAACAGGTTGCCCAAAGAGGTGGTGGATGCTCCATCCCTGGAGACATTCAAGGCCAGGTTGGACGAGGCCCTGAGCAACCTGATCTAGTTGGAGATGTCCCTGTTCCTTGCAGGGGGGTTGGACTAGATGACCTTTGAAGGTCCCTTCCAGCCCTGACCATTCTATGATTCTATGATTATTATGCGCACGTGTATGCGGGAATATCTGCGTGAGTGTGTGCTCATACACACACAGAGGTATGTTTTCGCCCTTTTTTAAATTTGAAGCTCACAGATTAAATTTCAGAAGGCCCTG